AAATTTTTAGTTTAATCATTTGTTTATTATTATTCATTTATCAAATAAAGAACAAATAGTATTACTTAATAAATATTTTTTAATATTTAGATTATAATAATAATTATTGATTTTATATTAAAACTAATACTAATTATTATTTAAACCTTTGATATTGTTAAAATCTTTTGATAGTTTTGACCATTTTTTTTAAAAAAAAAGGTTTAAACATATTTCAATTTTTGAAATTATTAAAATTCTAAGATTATGATAGGCAACTATACTTTCAATAATGTCTAAACCTTTTAACATTATTTAAACCTTTTGATAATTTCAACTTTTAAAAATAAAAAGTCAAAACGTCTAAATAGGTTTCAACTTTCGACAATTGTCAATACCCTGAGGTTTCGTCAAGCAATTATACTTATGTTTACTAAAGAATTCTTAGTTTTGTATTAAAATAAAACTATTCTTTTTTATTTTCAATTATAATAAATAATAAAAACTTTTAAAAATAAATTTATATTTATCATTATAAATTGTTTTATTTAAGATTAATTATAATTTTAGCATTATTAAAATTGCTTCAAAATCATTTTAACTTTAAACATATTCTATAAAATGACATTATAAAAATATTATAGTAAAATTATATTTGTATTTCCTTTTTCAGTAATTATTTGTTATATTAAATAATTCATTATAATAATAATGAATTTTTTATAATAAAGGTTTGATCGACTCAGATATTAGCTTTGTTATATTGAGATATAACTAAAGATAAGGGATAAACCCCCAAAAAGGCTATTAATAAACAGCTGAAATTATATTAAAACATAGTGAGGGATACAACAAAATCCTGAAATTCAAAATTAACTGAAACTATATTAAAAACATAGTAAAAAGTATGATGAAATTATTTTGAGAGAGTTTTGGTGAGCATCTTTAGATGTGACTATATATTTAAAAGAAGAATATATAAAATTTGGGATTATAATTGCTTATTTTTTTTATTAAACTTTATACTAATATAAACTATTATATCTTATAAAATAACTACTTCTAGTATAATTATACGACAATGAAATTATTTTAAAATTTAATCAGAAAATAAAAATTTTGGTTATCTTATAGAGATTTTAAAGAATATAAAGAATGAAGTTAATGATAAATAGTGTAAATAGTATTTTAAATAGATTAATTAAATAATTTAGATTATTTTTATTTTTTTGTATAAAAAGAATAACATGATAAATATATTGTCTAGATATTAATAAGTATAATACAATTAAAAAAGGGATATATTGTTAGTGTATTATATTTATGATAATTTAAAGACAAGAATACCAGCTAATTCTAATTAAAAAGGGATTTTACATAAAAAATAATGTTATTTTTCTAAATTTTATTAACCCCATCTATTTTTTAGATGTGATTTATTAGAAATAAGTTAGTTAGATATGGAATTCTTATAAGAAAATATTTGAAGAAAAGTAAATTAAATAACTTTAGTAATCAATATATTAATTTTTTTTCTCAGAAATTTCGGTCATGTGATTTTTGAACTTTCTAATTATACATTTGATGATCAGGAATAAACAAAATACTTTCCCTAATATATATTCAGACAATTTTTAATTTCGGCATTTTATATTACAAAAAGATCCAAAAAAAAGTAAAACATTACTAATTTTGTTATTTAACAAGTTTATTAAATACAAATAATATTGATCTTAATCAAGACTTTTTTTAATTATGGAAATCTGGTTTTAGATATTGAGTAAATTAGACATATTTCCTAAAAAAAGGTTCGAACCAACCTTTTTTTTTTCTTGAATTTGAATCAATAAGTATATGGGATTTGAGCAATTATAACATAAAAAGTGGTAGATAGAAATACTGTAAAGTTCGGATTTCGGGATTTCGGGTTTTGCCGACCTGGCCATTCAGGCCGCTCAACACGTACATCAATCAAGTACAGGTTAAATTTCAAACATTTAAGTTTGTATTAGAATATTTGATCATATAGAGAGATATACGGCAATGTACTTTATTATTTCTAGAATTCCATTCTGACGTCAAGTTTTGGTTATGATATTCTTGGCAATTTCCTAAAATTATCTCGATTGTGTCATTATTCTAGTCTAATATCTTTTGTTATAAATACAACGTTCACAACAATGTTGCATACATAACCTATAAAAATGCCTAAAAAACGCCGGGAATTAAAATATATTATCAAAACAACATTACCTACACTTTTACATATAAATAATCATTCGAAAAGGAAGGTTGGGAACATTGGTGAAAACATGTTGGCAATAGAGTCCGGCTTTCCAGAAGGATGGTTTTACATAAAATCTAAAACAAATGATCATGTGCTTGAGCCACATTGTCTTTCTGTAAATGCGGGTGCAAGAATTGTTGCAAACAAGCAGAGATTTGGTTTCGATGCGGATAGCCAGGTAAATTAAATTTTTAATAAAATGAGAGTGTAAATTTTCGGATAAAATTCTGATAGTTTTTTTTAATTCTTTTTAGCTTTGGAACTATGATAATGGATATATTGTGAATAAAGCTTCTGGAAAAGTATTAGATATACAAGGAGGTTATATTCGAACATTTCATAGAACGTATTTATGCCAATGGGATCGTAAACCATCAACTGAAGCATCGAATCAAAATTGGACTTTCTTACCAGGAGGTTTTATTTCTCCTGCGTTTCATGAAGGTTTCGTGTTGCATCTACGCGGTCATTTTGGTAGATCGAATATTGAGGGCACTCAAATTTTAATTCATCAAGCAAAAGATGATGATCATCATAAGCAAACTTGGTATTTCGAGCCCGAACAAAATCAACCAAAGATCCTTTCGCCTCCGATTCCTAAAGAATGTCCTGATTATTTTTTTTAGCGATAAATAAGTCAAAAAATAACTCAATCTGGTATTGACGCTTTTGTATATATATAACAATTATTTAATATTAATGCATATAAATTATAAAATTTCATTTAAATTCATTCAAATAAATTGGCATCTTATTCATATTGAAAATTTAAAACTTATCCAATATTTATTTATTTATTTTTGAAATGTAATGCAAAATAAGATCAAGCAATAAAAAAAAAAAAAAAAAAATTTGGATTTTTTGAAGGGTAAAAAAAAAAAAAAAAAATTTTTTTAAATTTTTTTCGAATTTAATGAGCACGACGAGATTCAGCGATAATATTGCTTAGTTCTTCAACTTTTCTTTTGGCTCTAACAAAGGTACCAAGCTAATTGCGTAATAGAAAATTTTTATAAAAAAAACTTGATTAATACATTAAAAAAAAAAATGCAACTGAATTTTTTAAGTTGATTTCCTTACTCTCTTCTTTGCCAATTTTCTTGCACGCTTATCCTTGGAATTTTTCAACAATTCCATTACACGTCTCTCATAAGGTGCATATCCCGCAACTTCGCGAATTATATCACGAACAAATTTGACTCGATGAGAGAGTGCCTATATGCAAAAAAAATCGATAAAACTAATTTAAGATCCAAAGGCACCATCAAAAGAAACAATATACCGACAAGACCATAATTTAGTTAAAAACTTACCCCTTTTCTTCGAGAAGGTTTTGGCCTTAGCTCACGAGGAGTTACTTTATGACCCTTATTTAAGCCAAGAACGATACCAGACTTTGGTTGCTTAGCCACCATTTTAATAAAAAAAAAATAGAATAAAAGAGAAAAAAAATTTTTTTTTTAAATAGTTGTCATCATCATTGAACTTGTAAATAGATTTCGATCACGTGGGTTTTATTTATGGCGATAAATTTTGTGCCATGCATAACTCTGCATAAATCCAGTTGTCCTAAGTCGCGTCTTTTCCATTCTTTCAACATGGATAATATTTATGACCCAAATAACCTTAACTGGAACAATTTGCATACAATCAATGAGGAACATACGTACTGTTACTGTGGAAAAGATAGAAACTTGACAGAAGTTTCTCTCCAATGCTCAAGTTAATACAATTTTATAGTTTAAGAATTCTTTTTTAAGTTCTTTTTTTTACGACTTATTATTCATTTTATAGACTGTTTGAATTGGTTTCACGCAAAATGTACTAAAATTCCAATCGATACCATCATCCCAATTTTCACAAACTATAAATTTACTTGTAAATGGTGCAGTAATTCTTCTGGGGAGAATTTCAAGGTAAATTGAATAATTCATTTCTTTTAATTAAAGCCAGACAAATTAAAGTTTTTTTAAATTAATAGCGAAGCCAAGCAGGATGGAAAGAAATTGGTGGTTGCGCTATAGCAAATTTGATGCTTCAGCAACATATGGCAGAATTTAAAGCTCAAAAAGGAGATCCTATATATTCTTCAGCTTATGCAAAGAAACTGTCTCCATTCCAATTTTATTTTAATAAAAATGAGCATTTGAGACCATTTGTTGATAAAAATTGGTCTTCTTTATGTACGGAGCGTTCTCGAACTGCAACTTGGTATTTGTTAACCGATTTATCTTTTTCTTGATTATTAAGCAACTATATGTATATATATTTTTTTTTAAAGGTGGGCAACTCTTGGATCTTGTTTATACTCAACCAAGGATCTTTTTGTTGCCAAAGATGAAAATAATCGTTCGGCAAGTTCAAATTTTTGTCTTGTAGATCCAAATCTATGGAATATTAGACCGGGGCATTTTGGGGTAACGTAATTGTTTAATTTAATATTTATATGAATTCATGATAAACTTACTGAAAGGATTTATCGTAGACGTCACATTCAAGGACTCCCTCACGGGCTCATAAAGAGGCGGTGAATAATAGTACTCGTGCAATCTATGACTCTGGAACTCCAGACGAAGCATCATCGTCAACAATTACACATGCGTCTCCTTCAAAACGCCAATCGACACCGTTTCGCTCTTCTTCAGAACAACCTGTAGCTTCTGGCCAAACGCAATCAAATCGTTCTAATACCGTGATTGCCTTAATGGAAGCACGTTCTTCGTCAATTACGGAATTTGGTCAATCCGGAGAACAAAATAATCTTCGGCATGGTTTCAAATATTTACCTTGTCAATTAGATAAATTGTTTCCATATTTGCAATATCGCAATTCTGAATTACCTCCTTATGGTGTACGTCTTTCTAAAGAAGACGCAAGTTTATCTGTATGGATAAGTGGTGACCAGTTAACTTCCACCACCGATTTTGGATTTTCAATGGCTAGAGCCAACTGTCCCGTTAAGGAAGGAAAATGGTTTTTTGAAGTTTTTATTGATCGTGGTGGTGAGGGTAAAATCGATGGTAAGGATGGCGCACATGTAAGGGTAGGCTGGGCCCGTAGAGAAGGTATTTACTTTAATTAATTGTGATTTAATCATTTTTTTAAATCTCAAAATAAATCGTTTATATCAAAATTTAACAGGTAATAGAAATTCTCCGGTTGGTTCCGATGCATACAGTTATGGTTTTAGAGATTTAACTGGACAAAAGATACATCAATCTCGTCCTGCACAATATGGCGAGTCATTTAAAACGGGAGATGTTATAGGTCTTTATATTAACTTACCACCATTGAAAAAGGTGATTCCGGATTATCAGCCAAAGAGTCCAAAAAGACATAGAATACCGATCCTATTTAAAGGGGATACTATTTTCGAATATAAAGATTTTAAACCAACACATCAAATGAATCAGCTTTTAGAATTGCCAGAAAAGAAAAAAGAGAAGAAATTTTGGTGGCAGCAACAAGAAGAGAATAAACAAGTACAGGCACCACCAGATATTCCCGTTTTACCAGGGTCAAAAATAATAGTTTATAAAAATGGAGTTCGTCAAGGCGTCGCTTTCGATAATTTATATTCATTTTTGCCCACTGTCGACAAATATACTAATGATGATGATTTAACAGAGGACGATGGATCTCTTGGATATTATCCAGCCGTATCTATGTATCGAGGTGGTACGTGTACCTTAAATTTCGGACCACATTTTCGATATCCGCCGCCACCAGATCCGGAATTAGAGGTTGCAAGTAATAGGTCAACGGCACCCAAGGTTCAGACTTTCAAGTCTTCATTAATAAAAACTTTAGTTGCGAATCCATTATTAAACAAACCATCAACTTCCACTTCGTCATCCCCTTCTTCATTAAATCCTTGCAAGAAAAGTACTAGTGGTCGTAACTGGAATCCAATGTCTGAGCGATATATGGAATATGTAACCGAAGATGTATTATATGATATTGTTGATGAAGTGGAACTTTGGGATTGGATGTTATCACAAAAGAAGAAGGTTATCCCGACCAAGCGACCAGTAATTGTTGAATTGAGTGATGGTTCCTTGAAAAAGAGGAAACAAGAAGGGGGATCGAGGCAGGTAACAAATGATAACGAAGATTTAAAACCTCAAGGATTTCCGACAAAGTGGGATGGATCTTCATTTAATTAATGGATAACCCCTTTTTTTTATTTTATAATATTAATAATTACATAAATTTCAATTATATATATTATGATTTACGAGATATCATTCCTTTCATCATATCAAAACTATTTCCATCAGGCTGTAAAATTATTTCTTCCAAATTATCATCATCCTCACTAATGAACCTGGCTTTCAAAAAACCGTAATCCGTAGTAATCCCAATAATACGGGCTCTCCTATTATTAAATGCTTCCAAAGTGACAATCTGATCCCTGTAAACAAGGAAAAGTTAAATCAATAAGAAAAAAGACAGAAAAAGAAAAAATATTTTTGAAATGAAAAATAGGCACGAACTTATGTAACCATCTTTTATAATAAATATCAAGAAAGGGTTCAAACCCATTTTTATGACTACAAAATTCTTTGTAAAATGATTCAAATTTTACGAGAATAGAGGCCAAAAGTTGTTCTTGAGAAAATTCCTTTAATTGAGATTTATTATCATGATTATATAGAGATATTATGCGGTTAACGGAGGTTGTAGGTGCTGAATTACTTAAATTAACTCCACAACCTAAGGGTATATTACATGCAAGTATTAATTTTTTGACTTTCCTTAAAAAAGTAATCAAAGATAAGTACCTGCGATCAGAAGAAATTCGTCTTGAACGAAATGCGAATTAATGATAACACCTCCAATTTTAAAATTTTCGGTATAGATGTCATTTGGCCATTTCAATCTAAGAGGAAGATCCTAAAGCACGTAATTTATATTAAATTAATTCATCAAACATTATATTAGATGTATTGGTTTTTTTTTTTGTTTTTTTTCCCGTAATACGAACCTCGTAACCTTTTTTTGTTCTAATAGCTTCTACTACCGCTAATGATAAGAGATATTGTATAAAAACAACAGAGGCTATGTTCGATGGATGTCTTAAGACAACAGAGAACTGAAGACATCCAAGAGGTGAAATCCAAGAATTTTTACCACGACCGCGTCCTTGATTCTGTTGTGTAGCTGTACAAACGAACCCAGTAGGCAAATTTTGAGTAAATTTAAAGTTCCTAATTATTTAAGAGGAGGAAAAAAATTAGAAAATTTTTATATTTACTATAATTACAGAGGAAAAAGGTGCACAGATACGTTACTTGTCTAGTAATGTTTGTGTACTTGATACCACTTCACCATAAAGCACAGTTGAACCAAATTCCATTTTGTTACCGCCACCACTTTCGATATTCCTTTCTTTTGAAAGGTGATCAAAGAAATCTTTAAAATTAAAGAAAGGTGTGGTTGACAGAGGAGGAGGTTGATCACGATAAACAATAATAGATTTTGGAATATCCATATTATCATCTTTATTTGCATCTTGAGATAAATCACTGTCATGAGAGTTAACAATAATTCTAAAGGAATCATTTGACGCTTTTATAATATTATTAGAATCCGTTAAAGAATTTATATTATTTAACCAAAGATTTGTTAAAGCAGGTCTTATTGAGGTTAAGTGTAGAGTAAAAGATAATTGTGAAGGGGTACTTTCATTATTTTGAGATAAATTTAAACCAAAAGTTGAAAATAAACTTCTTATTAAATGTTTCTGTTCAAGTTTAACGATATTAAAGAAAGGATCAAGACCACATAAAATGACCTTCCCATTACCAATATCATATTGAATTATAGTTGAAGAATTATTATATGTAGCAATAGAAGTAACATTGTCTCCCAAACTATCAAAATAACCGATTGAATTATCACAAGGAATTTCAATTTGATTTTGAACGAAAGGAAGATGATTTAACAAACTTTCTCTGTTTAATTTTAAAGGAATTTCAACAATAGGATCTTTTGAAAATTTAGGATAATTATCGGAAGAAGGAGTAGAAGAAGTTGTCTTAGTAGTTGATGTCGTAGTAGTAGAAGAAGAAGAAAAATAAGAAGCAGGTTTAACCTGATTAATGGTTAAAGTTTTATAAGTGCAATTTTCATCAAACTGAGACGGTAAAAATTGTTTAGCATCTAAACCAATACCCAAATAATTACCACCGGATTTTAGATAGTCCTCAAATTTTTTTTCAAAGAGAATGTTATTATTAAATTCTTTTTGAATGAATAATTGTTGATTAATATTTAATTTATTCGAAGATAAAAATATTAAACAAGAAGTTATTTCAAACCAGGAATTCATCAACAAATCATTTGAATCTATTTGAATAATATCATAATTTGTACCCAATATTGCTTTCAAAATTTTACAAACTGAAGGATTTACGATTTTAGAGTATATTAAAATATTTGTTTTCATTTTTTTTTTTTACTTTGTCTAAAATTTTAAACAAATATTTAGATTCTTTATTAAATTTAAGTTGGATCACAATTTTTTTTTTTTTTTTTTTTTTTTTAAATCTTTTGACCAGGTTTCACATGCCGCAATTCACAATTAAAAAATTCACGTTAATATCGTATGCAAATTAATTAAGAGCAATGGCATCAATTTCAATTTTAACATCTTTAGGTAAACGAGCTACTTCAACACAAGCTCTTGCTGGACGACTTTTTCCAAAGCACTAAGATAAAATGAAGACAATAATCAAATTTTCTCTTGAACGAAAATAAATAAATAAAAAAAAAAATAAAATGACACTGTAATTACCTTTTCATAAGCTTCATTTACAGAAGGGAAATGATTCATATCTTTAAGATATACAGTTGTTTTGACGACTTTAGATAAATTAGTTTGTGCCGCTTCAAGTACCTTCGACAGATTTGTAATAGCTTGGGTCTTTTTTAAATATATAATTAAGGGAAAGACGAAAGGCGTGTAAACTAAAAATAAAGCTCATTTCTATAAAGCATAGAAAAGACCGTCTATGATAGTTACCGTTTGTTCTTTAATGTCATCGCTTATAATGTTCCCCGTTTCAGGAACAACGGGAAGTTGTCCAGAAACAAAAACAAAACCATTTGCAATAATACCCTGGGCTATTATCAAAATTTTAAATTAGGTACTCTAATTCTCGTCTCGGCATTTATAAATGTTTACTTACAATAAGGTCCAAGAGCACCAGGTGCTTTGTTAGTGCTAACAATGCTAATTGGGCTAGCCATTTTATTTCTTCTATATTGTTTTATAAAAGAAGAACGTAGGTTTTTGTAAAACCTCATTGTTCTTATTTTATTTATCTAGATCATCAGCTCTGGTTAAAATATCGCAATATGACCTAATTTGTAAATGGATGGTCAGAAAAATTTTGTTTAATTTTCCCCAAGTTCGGAAACGTTCTTTTGTGATAATTTTTTTTTTTTTAAATTCAATTAATGTCTTCCCCTAAAGACAGACTTTTACAATTATCAGGTCATTTAAATGGAACTGACAACTCTGAAGAAAATAAACCTAGGTTATGTTGTAAAGTTTGCATTATTACCGGAGCTGGTTCAGAAAAAGGCATAGGGTACATTTCTTAATATATATAATATATATATTACTTTAAAACCCCGACTACTAATTGACTAAAAACATTTGATCAATATATAGTCGCGCTACTGCATGGTCATTTGCCAAGAACGGTAGTTCCTCATGCGCAATTTGAATTGTTATTTTAAATTTTTAAATTCATAACGTTCAACGACATTTTCATTTTAAAATTTATAGGAGCAAAAGCTATATATATTACGGATTATGTTGAAGATTTACTTCCACAACTTGCAAAGGACATACAAACAAAATACCCAAAAGTTACAGTAATTTCACGTAAACTAGATGCAGCATCGGAAGATGATGTTAAATCAACTGTTGATGATGCCATAAAAAAATTTGGTAGATTAGATGTATTCTTCGCTAATGCTGGTTAGTTATATTTGTCATTAAAAGAAAAGATTGTTTATAATTGGAAAGGGATTCATTCCGATTTTGTCATTAAAAGGTATACTTCGTACAACCAGGATACATGATTTAGAACCATCTAAATTTATGGAAGTTATGAGAGTGAGTCTTAAGTAAAAATTACAACAATGATTATTCGTTTATTTACCTTTTTTTGTTCAAATTTCTAGGTAAACGTACTTAGGTAAATATTTATGTGTAATTTCTCGAATATATAATCAATGAATTATGCTAAATTTTTTATATCCGCCGTCAATCAGTGTGTTTTTAGCCATAAAACATGCTTCAACTGCAATGAAAATTACTGGAATTGATAAAAAGCAATCTGGTGGTTCGATTATTGCAATAGCTTCAGGTTAATTGAATGGTTATTATTATTATTATTTTTTTTTAAAAATAAAAAAAAAATCTTTTAATATGTTTTAATGATATAGTTGCTGGATTGAGATCTGGTGCTGGTCCCATTGATTATTCGGCTTCAAAAGCTGCGTAAGTACATATGAATGACGCGTCATTTTACATAAAATAACAATGCTAAAAAAGAACTTTCATATTAAAAACAGTGTCATTAATATGATTCAAGTGGGAGCCTGTCATCTGACTAATACGAATATTCGCGTAAATTCAATTAATCCTGCAAGTACTTAATAAGTTATCCTTTTCAATTCACTAACATTGTCCCTTTCAAGAATGGCAATATTTATTCAATTCCTTTCAATAAAATAGGGGCTAGTTGAAACTAGTATGACAACTCTCCTCTTCGATTACGCTCGTACTCGTGGTACCCTTAATAAAGTTGGACAATTAAATCCTTTGCAAAGATATGCTGTACCTGATGAGGTAAATTGATAATTTAATATATATATATATATATATATATATTATAAATAAATACTCAATGAGAAATATTATTATTTATTTATCGATAGATTGCAAATGTAGTAACATTCTTGGCAAGTGACGAGAGTTCATACATAAATGGTCATTCATTAACAGTTGATGGTGGATTGGCTTCTAGTATACCTGTTACTGGCAAATTTTCTTAAAATTTTATTACTTCATTTGGATTATATAAATTATAATATGCCAAAAAATTGGTTAAACAAAATTTCTATCAATATACAAGAAAACCCCGTTTAATTTGGACGAAGAATTTTTTTTCTTTGTTTTTTTAAAAAAAAAAAATAATTACAAATTTCTTTTGAAATATTAACCTTACATGTATAAAGATAGTTATGTTAATTAAAATTATTCGGTCATTATAACCTTGTTACTGTTCTCTCTTTTTTAAATATATTTAAGATGTGAATTTAACACCTATAAACTCTCGGCTATATTATTGTCCTGTTGCGGTATCGAATGGTTATTATGATTATGATTATTGTTTTGGTTATTGTTATTAAGTTCATCACTTCTTGATTGTCTATTAGATCTTCTGTCCCTATTTCGTCGTCTTCTCGAACGAATCGATGTAAGATATTTTATCCATCGGAAATGTGGGAAATTTGGAGGTACAGAAGGAGCGATCGATGAACCATCATCGTTTTGTCGATCGTTATTGGTGGTGGTGGCATGATCGGTTGATTCTAATGATGTTGAAGAATCCAATTCATCTTCACTTTGTTGCGTTGTATTCACTTCACTTTCCCATGAAGTGTAATCTGTTTTACACATTGGACAAAGCGGTGATATATCGAGAAGCCATGGATCTATGCATATTCTATTGACGAAAGAAGAATTAGTACGCATGATAACATAAGATTGGTTCTTAATGAAAATACTGACTTGTGATACTGATGATGACAAGGCAAAATTCTCAATTCTACACCAGATTCGAAGTCATCCAAACAAATTGGACAAGTTAATTGCCCATCTTGTACTTTATTATTTGTTAACGCTGAAAGGATGGAACCCGTGGATATAGAACGGATATGTGATGAATTGTTAATTTGCGCAATCGGAGGTACTTGTGGTAAATCAGGTTTATTTTTTTCAGAATTGATGTCATTATTGGTTACAAAATTCTCATTTGTATTTTTAGAATAAAGATTTGATGAATTTTCATTTTCTTCAATTTCTTCTGCTTGTGGCGCAGATTTCATAACATCTGGACTTGTCGTTTCTAATTCAATATCAGCTTCTAATTCTTTTCCTTTTCCTCCTTCCAAATCTTTATTCTCATCGTTATAATCCTTCATTCCCATTGTAAATAAGAATACTGGGAAACTATCTAAGACGGATCTAGCTATTCCACGACGTGGACGTGCATTCGTATCTTGCCCTTGACTTGGTGGTGCCGCAGGGGCATTAAGCCGGTTTCTTATTATGTTTGTAATAACTACGATAAAAAATAATCCCAAAACAACTCCCGATACAGCATAAAGTACTATCATTGCCGTTTGATAAGTCGCAATTACCCTATTGTCTTCAGAACCGTTTACTGAAATAGGTGCGGAAGGATTTATATTATTCGAATTTCCATCAGGTTTTATCACTGCAGTAATTTCGTCTTTTTGTGGTCGGAATTGATTAATAACTTCAGAACAAGATTGCTCAGTCGTTGTAAATAATGGTTTCTTAATCCTATCTGATGTTAGGTTTTGACAAGGCTTTGATGTAACCGTATAGAATACAGAAGCAGAAGCATTATTTTCCTCAGCGATTAAAACATTTTGAAGATTGGTATTAGGATTGTCATCACATTTAATAAATGCTATCCATTCATTATCTTCATAGAGGTTTTGAACATTCTGATTTAAATCTGGCCATAATCGTAATGAACCCTAATATTCGATAATTAAAGACGCGATATTAGTATCCTTTCAATGAAGATCATCGTGTAGTTACTCGAATTCAATAAATTAAACAAATTAAACATACGTCTATCGCTATACCCGGTGCATTCGATATGTTCGTTAACTTACAAACGGTAAGATAGGCTATTATAATCATACTATAAGAATTTGCATTATTGTCTGCACTTTGAGCACTTGTTAGTGATACACCTAATAAAAGAAACGCACCAATACAGGTGCTTAGTCTTCTAAATGATCCCATGTCAACCCAAAACCTTATTTTAAACTCAATAAAAACCAAGGTAAAAAAAAATAATTCTTAAATAGTACACTTTAATGAACTTTAGAACAATGTATTTCAATTTCAATATAAAGAAACGGAGGAAAAAATATTTCAACTAAAAATTCATTATTGTTGTTATAATTATTTTTGATTTTTATTTCTTTTTTTTTAAAAATTAGTTTTATAGATTTCTATTTTTATAATATTGTAGAACTTTAACTTTTTTTCTGATGATGTCATTTTTATGATTATATATAATTGATAATATAGAGAACAGAAATTCTCTCTTGTACCAATTAATTCTGCGTAACCAAATTGATAACAATGTCATTCGATTATTAGAATGATGCGATTTCGTAATAAATTCTTTTAATGATTTAATAATCAATATAAACCAATAGAATTAACAATTTTAAAATAATTTGGTTAGAAATATTAAAATTGCTAAAATAATAATAGTTAAAAATAAAAGTAATTTACTGTATATAAAGTAAAAATAAAAAATAAAAAAATATGTGCATTTAGTTTTTAATCTAAACATATTAATTCTTAATTTCTTACTAAATTTTAAATAACTTTTTAAAGAAATACTATTAAGTTTTAATAATTAATAAATAACTTTTATACTATTTTATTATTTTAAATAGTTTTACTTAAAAATGTAATCGTAATTAATTTTAAAATTTTTAAATAATTGTAACTATTTATATTAAAATAAATTTTTATAAGAGTTATTTATAATTACTTTTTAATTATAATACCATCTTTAAAGTTTACCAATTTTAACTTTTGAATTTTACTAAGTTATTTCAATTTCATTATAAGTTTCATATATAACTTGACTTTTTTCAAAAATTAGTTTTATTATTTTGATTAATACTAACAAATATATTTAATTAAATGTTTAATTTATAAGTAATTTTTATTAAATTTGTAAATTTAGGAATTTTTTATTTAATCTTTTAATGTATTCATAAATAGTAATAAGTATTAGTTATATCCTAGCTAATTAGAAATAAGTAAAATTTTACTAAGATTAGATAAATGATCGGCTGATAGGCCGATCATGTTCTGATTCTAAGTAAAATTTTACTATTCCAATTAGCCAGGATATAATTGATTTATCTCCTGCCATTTATGTAATAGTCCTATAAAGTTTACGTAATTATCTTGTAATTATGCATTATTATAAAGTTTAAGCCTATTTGACGCAAATATATAAGGGCAAATTATAATTACTAAATTAAATTTCTTTTTTTCTCATGGCAGGTTTTATAAAAGCTTCCGAGTTATTAAATTCAAAAAACGATACTGCCATTTTAGATGAACTAAAAGATAAATTTACTCATATGCAAAATGCTCAACTTACTGAAATACATAAAGAAACTTTAAAATCATTCAATTCTAAAGAAATACATGACCGTCCTTGTGTAAAAACTTTACAAAAATATATTACTATATCGAAACCTAAAAATACTCAACAAAATACTTGTTTATGGTTTTCTAGATTTGAGAAATTTGTGAAGAGCACTCAACCGGATATAGATTTACTTACACTTTATGATAAAAAAGTTATTGCAGTGCTTTTATGTGAATTTATAGTAGTTATAAAAACAAGAGAAAAAAATGAATTTAAAGCAAATTCATTATACAATAGAATATGTGCTATTAATAAGTTTTATCAAGAATTATTCAAAACTAAAGAATCATTTAATATACATGAAGATTATGAGTTTAAGGCAGTATGCGATACCTTGTATACCAGAATAATTGAGTTAGAAGAAATTAATAATGGTAATTATAATGGAGCTGATCCTCTTACTGATGAAGAAATGATTCAAATCTTTGAGCATCCTAATATGTCAAATAATACACCAGATGGATTATTAAGAAGAGTTTTTTATGGATAGGATGTTGCACAGCACAAAGAGGTGGATCTTACCATAATATTATGGCTAATCATTTTAAAAAACGCGATGATGATGGATTTAATATTATAACAATTTATGATAAAACTCATCAAAGGGGTTATTATCATCGAACAAGCTCTAATCAGCATTCTAAACATATTATACCATCAGATGAAAATGGAACACATGGGATATACTATGATATTAAAAAATACTTAAACTTGCGATCAAAAAAAGCCAAAGAAAATCTTTTTCTTCACATAAATAAAGATCTAAAAGGTATTTAAACATTTCTAATTTTTATTTAATGTATTTAATAAACTTAAAAATATTAAAATTGTTATTTAGATATTGAAAATGGAAATTGGTATTCTACTTCTCATATGGGTCAAGACAAATTGTCTGAAATGCTAAAAGAGATTTGCAATATTACTGGAATTGATTGCACAAATAGAAAAATTATTAATCATTCATTACGAAAATATACTGCTCAAAAATTAAATGATGAAGGATTAGATTCACAAGTTATTATGAATGTAATATTGCATAGATCTTTAGCAGGATTAAATGTGTAAGTAATTATGATTTTATTTATTCATTAATTATATAATTGATTAT